CCTCTCGCGCTCATTTAGACTACCAGTTGGAATTGAACTGATGGATAGGATCGTTAAGCTGATGGGCAGATTTCGGGAGGAAGAGTGGGGATATTTGATTCCTGAATATCAGAGGAAGTGCTACGTGATTGAGTGCACAAATATTAAAATTTTGAGAGTCCTTTCAGCAGTTCACAGAATCTCTGTTTATTTATTTTGTTTTTTGCTTTCCCAGTAATTCTTTTTACTGTATACATCTGTTTGATAAACTCATGTAACTCATTTTCCCCTCTGCTAGAGCTCTGTTCTGTTTTACAGAGATAAATGTTTGAAGAAACGCACATTTTCCACTACAAACACTCTGAAATGTGTCCCTAGTGTGTATTTATACCTTGCTGACCTCGTTTTTACCTTTGGGCATAATTTCTATTAGGGCACCCCTCCTCCCCCCCAGATTTGTGAGTCCTTCACCTGAGGTAAGAGGCAGTAGAAATGTTTTTGAATGTGGCATTTTTATTCACGGTAAGAAAGCTGCTCGCACGACAGTAGAGAAACTCAATTAGGAGCCACGTTCACCCGAGCGCTTTCTGCTGCCACATACCTCACATTCCCCTCCTCGTGTTATCACTGACACATTGGGAGAGTCTTTTACAGTCCCGCTCACGATTACATTTCTCAAGAGCGCTTCATTTAAAAGAAATAGGAAGGGTTACACCGGACAACCTTGGCATTTCCCTCAGGAGCCGTGTCAGAGCATGATGCTTCATGAAGCAGTCAGCTCCAGCCAGACAAACGTGTCTGACTGAGAGGTACTATGTCTTCAAGTAGCCGGTATAAGGCTGCAAAATGAAGCGCCCGCTCACAGACCCTGCAGATAATGGACATCTCGGATTGTGGAGCGGCCCCCTCTGAGCTATTTGGAGCCCTCACGGAGAGCTCACAAACAGGGACTAGAGGGGGATTTAGCCTTCTTTTAGAGATGGAGTAGAGGCTTAGACCCTGTGGAGCACACAGTACGATTCTTATGTCTGTGGTTGAAAGTGCCTTTGAGTTGTTGGACAGAAAATGTACTTTATTGGTATTTTGCCTTTGAAAGCTATTGTTAGCCCAGAGAGATCTTGAAAATTGTCTTGTTTAATCTTTTTAGGCATTCCGAGTTTATTGAACACGTCGTCATTGTGCATGAGAATCATTTCTTGTGCAGCAGTGCTTTGCTTCTCAAGAGTGTCTCCAGGCAGGTTTTAAATGTTGATGTTGGAAAGCCCCAAGCTGTCTATCTCTCTCTGTTTTATTTTTTTTAGCATGGCTTTTACCTACTAAACTAACCCCGGATGCCGTCTAAAAATAGAGGCTTTGTGAGCGCAGCTTTAGCGAAGGGGGGGGGAGGAAAAAAAAGATGTGGTTACTCATCAGTGAATTGAAAAACAAGTAGAGCAGACAAGTGTCTTTGCCCTGCCAATGTGAACTAAAACAGAGAGGGCCTCAGAGAATACAGCAAGCCATGATTGCACCAGGTAAGACAAAGCAGGCAGGGTGCAGAGTCCACAGTGAATCCCTTATGAAGCGGCCTGCCCCTCGCCTCCAGCTGAGCCTTTCATTGTGATGTTGTTTCTAGGGGGGCTTGGATGGCAGTTTAGATTAGATCGCACTCAGTAATGGATTGGAGCTGATGAAAACCTGCTGCAGCCCAACATCGCCATGGCTAGGATCCCTGCACTATTCAGGATCTGGCTGCTTTATTTGGATCAATTTGAGTTACCCTCATTGTTAATAACCCTGTGTATATTCATGCTAACATTGTTCTCCTCTAATCTGTATTCATGCGAGTATTTCATTCAATCCCTTCGCAAAGCCGGCCCTTAATCCTTGCCAATCACATTTTGCTACTTCATAATTCTCCAATTGAATATGCCATGAATGACTTTTCAGTCTCTCTCCCAAAACTGACTCTATTACTATGTTGGTATTATTGTTCATAGATTCTTTTTTTTCTCCTTTTTTTTGACATTTAAATGTAGAAATTCATGTTTTCTCCATTTACTTTATATGGAAAATTTCTAATCCAAGACAATCAATTACTTAAATTTAGTAGGATTTAAAAAAAAGAAATCCTACAGCTGTATATGCTGTATAGGAGCTCAAGAAGAGCATGCTAATTTAGTTGTTTTGTTGGGGTTTTTTCCCCTTAAACAGGTTCTGATTAAAACTACAGTGATGAGCATGGATTTGGGTAATGTGGGTTTGTTGGGAATGAATAAAACATGGCTTTTTAACAAAAAAAAAAGGCTGTTCAAGGAGACCAAGAACTGGGGGGGGGAAAGCTATGTTTAGTAACAGAAACCTGCTGTGTGGCCATTGTGGGGATGATGTGTTAATCGAGCCACAAACTGTGTGGTTTTTCAGGCCAGAGGTCTCATTTAAACAGGCACGGAAAAGAGTAATGTATTTGAGCGGAGCGCCTCTGGCTCCTAGCCCTTGACTCCATTGCAGTAATGTAAATGGTGGATTAGGTGCCGTTAGCTAGGACCCCCCCTCCCAAACCCTACCACTGCCCCCCTCCTTCTCTTTTCCATTAAGACAGCTGGTATCTTTCAAAGGGTCCTGGCCCAGTGATTGATGTGTAATAGCTCCAAACCTCACCTGCCCCCTCACAGCCTTATTCATCGGCCAGGCAGTCAGCACTGCTTTCTGCTAAGCAGTCTGTTTCTCTGCTAGCGGGTGTAGAGCCAGCTCGCTGCTCACTTTCTCATTCTTTTCCCTCTCAGCCATCAATACATTATGACTTCTCATTGTCACAGCATTAACTGCTTTAAGCTGACTAACTGCTTTTTACTCACTCGATTTACTCAACTTCAATTATCGGTATCAAACTAAGCAATCGGTGAGCTACAAAATGACCACAGAGAATTGAATATGTTGTTAATCGGTGCGTTTCGACACATTTAAACGTGTCATAGTGAGTCTGTGTGAAGACAAAAGTACACATGTGTACACACACAGACACACACACATATATATATATATATATATATACATATGTGTGTGTGCATGTATATGGGAGTTTTTTTTCCCTTTTAAGAGGTAATTAGTATAATTATGTTAACATAAGCAAGGTAATTGGAGATAAAGAATTTGAGGCAGTTCTGTGGAGTGTATCCAGATGTAAACTAATAGCACCTAGATGTTAAAGGTACTAACTAGGCTTAGAACTGCCTCCGACTTCAAAGGAGAGCGGGTCAGTCCTCCATTTGCAACAGTTTAGAGTCCTTGCTGGTTTCAGTGGAAGAGGCTTATGTTACTGATTAGAGGAGAGACGAGGTTCTTAGCTCATACGCCAATTCTGGCAGCCCTCAGGATTAGAGCTGTGCTATCAAATACTACCTTCATTAATGTTTTCGTGTACCTCACACCTCCAAAACACGCTGCCGGATATAGACACAGAAGAAAAGGTGTGTGTGTGTGTGTGTGATCTGTATTTTGACACACCGTCTCGGGTATGTTACATTGGCGGCTCTGTGTCCTTGCGCGCACGTGCCCGTTGGAACTCTTCAGAGCCCTCGTGTCTTCTGCGTCTGCTAATGTGTGCGCCGGCAGCCCAGTGGTCGCTGTGGTAACTCATCATTAGGTGATTAATGGGGCTGTGACGAGGCTGCAGTTTAATCAGGCCCGGTGTTTGTGTTGAAGCCGACGACAAGAGCAGCTGCCCTGTCAGTTGGTGTCTGCTCGCGAGATGACAGCACCCGCTGCTGAGGAGTGCCGTTGTCAAATGTTCTTCATTGTAAGCGTACATGCGCGTGTGTGTGCGTGTGTGTGTGCGTGCCAAAAGCCTTTCTTCCACCTTTTGCTTTGCTTCTATTCTTCACCTCACGTTCTTTCTGGCTCTGTCAATAAGCACTCGTCCACTTCCAGATATGCTGTATAAATTCGTTGCTTCACCTGCCTGAATCTGTATCCCTCCCTCATTTTTCACTCTTCGGCTTCCATCCGGTCACCATATAGCGAGTGCTGATTGCCTGGTCTGATCCCTCTGGGGGCTGTAATAACTATTTCTAGTTAATTTGTTGCGGTGGGGGGTAGTGGAAGGGGCGGGGGGGGCAAACACTGGCTTTAAATGAGTAGCCTCCTTTGTAGGCGCTGTGTGCAGAGGCTGTGTGGTGCAGACAGCGTGCTGCTTCAGCTTTGCCCACTTTGCTGTTTATGGAGGATTTTTTTTATTATGTCGCGGGGAAAGTGGCGGCTGGACGAAGATAGCTGCAAGTGGCTGAGGACCAGGCATGGCGAATGAGTGACTCTGCCTCGATCCTCTGCCTTTCCTTACCCAGTGGATTGCTGTATCCTTCCCTCCAGAGCTGTCACTTCACATTAACGCAGCGGTGACTGTCAGCCAGGGCAGAGGGCCGGGGTGAGGGAGGAGTCCAGTAAGCCAGCAGAATTGAGCCTGGTGTCAACAGAAACGGTCTGCAGAGAAGCCAGCCTGTTAACTCTGTCATTGAGCTTTACGCTGCAGCTTTCCCGTGGCCTTATAAACTACAAACGGCGACTTCTGCCAAAAGAAAAAAAAAAGACCCTCATAGCATATTATCTCAGAGGAATTCTGTTGGCTGGCAGCAGCTTCTTTACTACCTTATTCAGTTATGACTTCCCTTTAGCTCATTGTGTTACAAATACTGTAGCCGCGGCGCTTGTCTTCCTGTTGTTCTCTTTTACCCTTTAATAAATCTGTTTTAGCACCTTTCTGAAAGCGTGGAAATATGTTAGAGCAGGAAGCTCGAAGGTTTTGTTCTTTCATAAAGCTGCTCTGTGCTCTCCGGAGCATACTTGGCTGTGGAGGAGAATGCCAGCAATTACTGTGATGCTGAGAAGAGTCGGCAGAGCAGCCTAATCTCCAAGAACTAATGTTGCGTTTCTAACCCCCAAAAAAGGTGTCATCCAGTATTGAACAACACTTTTAATGTTGCTTGTATTTTGTAAAAACGGTGGTTATTGATCCGAGTTAATTGCCCTTCTTCTTTTCTCCACAGCTTTTCTGAAACACTGGGGTTGTTGGAGTGGCCAAATTTTCCCTGGATTTGACTGGTAAATTCAGAAGACTGAAGCCCAGGCTCACAGTCTACCTTTCACGGAGGCCCAGCCGTGAGAGGACTGAGGAAGGCACGTGGCGGATCATGACGGCCGATAAAGAAAAGGAACGGGAGAAAGAGCGGGACAGGGACAGAGACAGGGACCGGGACAAAAGAGAGGCCGGCAAGTCCCGCCGGCAGGATGGGGACCGGGGCGACCGTGAAAGCGAAAGCTCTCGGCCCCGGCGCAGCTGTACGCTGGAGGGCGGGGCCAAGAACTATGCAGAGAGCGAGCACAGCGATGACGAGGACAACGACAACGGCAGCACCGGCGGAGGCAGCGGCACGGCCGAGGAGGCTGGCAAGAAGGGCAAAAAGAAGATGCCTAAGAAGAAATCACGCTACGAGCGCACAGAGAACGGCGAAATCACGTCCTTCATTACAGAAGATGATGTTGTTTACAGACCCGGAGGTAAGTCCCAGGCACCCTTAATCCAGTTGTGTGAGCCGGCGGGCCGCATTCATCAGCTCGGCTACTAAATGATTAAACTTTCCCAGGTCATAAGCCCACATTTTCGAAAGCATACTTCACTGGATTTGTCAGATGCTGTTTGCAAACACACCATTAAAATTTGGCTCTTCTTCCCTGGATCAAGAAGTGAGAAAAGCGTGAAAGCAGTGGCGGTTAAGCAAGCTCAAGTGTGAATGAACAAAAGGACCCCTCTGTGATGCCCATAAATGTCCTGAACAATTCAGTTTAATATTCGTTATGCAGCATCACTTTACGTTTTACAACAGTAACCTCACGGCGTTGTCAGTGTTACAGTTCCCTTTGAGCATGCACAGTTGGAGATCATGCTCTAATACAAAAGCATCCTCTGTTAGAGCCAGTGCCCCATCATGTCGGGTTTTAGGAAAGCCTGTGCATGTTTTTGCATAGCTTAGCTTCAGCGTCACTTGCACTTTTTAACATAAGCCACTTTCTTTAGACTAAGTTTATTTTAGGCATAGGGGGAAAACTGACATCGATTTATCAGTGATTGATTCTTGTCACCTCTGCTGCAATAAGCTGCTGAGGAATTGCAGATTCTCCAAAAGTTGCAGTTCTCCAGCAGCAGAAGTACTCCTTCAGGCTAGAGGCCAATGCATCATACAATCAATTCCAAGTTGACCCACTCTGAGCTTTGTCTTGAGCTTAGTCAATAAAGCAAAGTGGTGCTTCAATAGATGATACGATAGAGACAGCCATGATAATGATTTCATTCCAGCGCTGTCTGACTCACTGAAAATATGCTATCTCCTCTGGGGCCAAAAGGTACTCTACTTTCTGGGAGAGGATTTTTTTTTTCCCGAGCTACGGCGGTATGTCTCGAATATGTCGAATAAACGAGGATAAAAAGAGAAGCGACCTTTTTCGTGGCTGTAAACACAGCCCATATTTTACTTGCTGTTTAAATTAGTTGTATTAGAGGCGGAAATGTCAGCACTGAGTGATGGAGAGAAGCCAGGCTAACTAGCTGTGTCTTTTACACCGCTCACTGTTATCTTGCCTTGCACCTAAATCATTGCCTTCGTGCTTTTATATTTCTCCGGGAGCTTGCAAAAGGTCAAGTACCGAGGGAGGGGAGTGGCCCACTCTGCTCGGCTATTTAATGGGAAGATGTAAGAAGTTACAGCGACTGTGTTAGGCTGTCTTCTTCAACAGTCTACCCGAACCACACGTCCACAATCATCCTCAGGCCTCCTTTTATTCTATTTCATCTACTAAACAGATGAATTCCAGTAGGTGCAGTGAAACAGCCAGACATCCCAACCTGCGCTTTCAGCCTAGCTGCGTAATCCGGTCGGCTAAATTATCTCTGCGCTGGTATCAGTGGAAGTCCTCAAGCAAGCAGTCGCACTGAATCAAGCCTTGTTGTTGCTCACACTATTCCTGTCTCTATCACTCTGCGGAGGTCTCCACTGAAGCCTTTTTTACTTGGCATTTCACGTTTAATAGAGAGAGCACCGACGCTGGGTCTCATAGTCGACCATGCGAGGTAGGGGGCGGGCTGGGGGAAAGGGGTGAGAAAACAAAAACAGAAGCAGTCAGTTATATCAATGAAACATTCAAAAGGCATATAAACAGAGTCGACCGTCTCAGTGGATTAGCTCCTCCGAATATTTATATTTCCACAACCGAGCGAACAGCACGGACAGGGTCTGGTTGATGTGGAATATTTATGTTTCCTGTCCTCTCCTTCTATTAGTTTGACATTTGTGGAGTGGCCTGAATGTCACAGCCTCCTCGCGTCATGTCGACTGAAGCTGTTAAGATTGGTTTAGATTAGGAATGAGCCACGATAGGGTAGTGACGGCCCCAGCGTCGGTACACTCGTTTGTAATTTACCTCCTGTTGTCAACATGGAAGATCCTCCACCTCAGCAGCCGACTTCCTGCTGTCTCCTCTGCTTATTGTTCAAGTGACAAGCCGTGTTTGTGCACGCGCGTGTGTGCTCGCTTGTGCGTGCGTGTGTGTGAGTGCTTGTTTCCTACAGCTTGGTCATTGGTAGCAGCCTTCTTGCAATCAGATTTGATGTGTGCAGCTTAGGCAGGCACAAAGCCTGCAATGGATTATGCTTTACTAAATGTTAAATCCCCTTATAGCCGGCTAGTGACACACAATATGTAAAACTGACCACCCTCCGAGAGGGATTTACGCCACCCCAGATGTGGGGAGGGGAAGAATGTGATGGAGAACAGCGCAGAAAGCGAAAGAAATCGTGAACCAAAATGCCGTTTTGATTGCTTTTGTCACAGGGGAGATTTAGAAACATACAGGCCTGTGTTATCACATAAAAAAGAACAGTTAAGCTAGTATTGAAACCATCTCCCTACTCCTGGTCCTCAGCCACCCTCCAATCTCTCTGCTTAGCCTTTCTATCCCTTGAAGATGGGTTCAGGCAGCTTAGCGCACATCGATTGGATGGGGAAGTGCAATCGGCCAGTAGGTGGGCCTGCAGCTAACTCTAGCTTTGCTGCTGTTTTAAAAGGAATGGAGGAGTTTGCCCGGTGGTGTCCAGGGGACTGTGTCCCGGGCCATTTGTATGATCGGCTGCTGGGGTGAACAGCTAGCTCGAGCAGACATGCCAAAATCGATCTGTGCCCTGTGGCTGAGCTCGCACCACTTCCCCGGGCCCAGCCAGACACCTCCAAAGCCTGTTCTCTACATTCATCCTCATCCCCACCCTAGATTATAGATCCTCTCTCTAGAGATTATACACACTGCTGTGGTGGATCAATAGGAGACACCCTAGAAGCATAGAAACAGTGCGCACACATACATAGAATGCTGATAACCAGCATTTGTGTACTGAAAATCATACATACACACCCTGTCACATAAAAAGGCATACTTTTAACAGTTGGAAACACGGTTCCTATCGCTGGCAGACACACACCACACAGTGGAGCTAATGGAAACCATCCCCCCTCCTCCTTGTCCTTCTCCCTCACTGTATGTCACACAACATGGCTACTGCAGCAAAAACACTTGATTCATTTTAGTCATTTCTTTTCTTGGCAAGTGTAGATTTGTGTAGAAGGTGGATCATATATGCAGAAAGATTGAGGCTAGACTGAGAAACACACTGTGTGTGTTGAAGGATTTGTTGATGTGGGCAACTGGCACTCCTTGCTGCAGTCACCACAGAACCCTGGGGTCGTACGCTTACATGTGTGTTTGTGAGTCTTGCTGTATCTCTGATACGCACAAATACAACCAACTACAACCAGCAGTTGTTCAAACTTTAGAACAACTGTTGGTTGTCCCACAAACTTGCCATGTTCTTTATGTTTATAAGGGCTTCAGCTTTCCTTTTCAAATATACACTCATTACCATCAACCTGTTTTAGCTTTGATTGTGCAAAGTTACTATCCAAAACAGAAGTACCCACACCGATCATTACGTGTCTAAATTGTTGTCAGTATGAATCTTATTGGGAAACCAGGAAGTTGTGAATCTGTGAATGTTGGACTAGTTTTTTAGAGCCAAGACAGCCAGTGTAGTACAGAAATGGCAGCGCAACCCATCCGCTACCACAGCTAGCTGTCGATCAGTTTGCCGTTTCCATTCAAGCTAACATAGGGGACAAGCCCTTGGAGTCATTTCATATTGAAACATAGCAGTGTGAATCTGTAGCCTGTCGTTAACTGAACAGATCTATTTTTAAAAGGGCCCTCTCCGCTCTCCCATCTCTCCCCACGCTAGAGACTCTGGGAAAAGGGCTTTTTAGTGAAATCCAACCACCTGCCGACTGCTAAATGAGAAAGCGTGGGCTAGCCGAGAG